GCAGCTGGAAGCCTGCATCTGTCCGCCATGTTCGTCCACCTCAACCTCCTGTTGCTTCTCCGGGTTACAGCCGGCAGCCGGTAAACTTCACGCCCCCATCAGACCCGGCGCTGTCCGCTGTCATAAAACCAGTGAAGGCATCTCTGAATGTCAGTTTGTCAGTGCTGTGAAAGTGCCACTTGACTTCTTTTTTTTTAAAAAAAACCCAGAGAAGTTGCTAGGCTGTTACGACGTATCGCGTCAGTGGGCGTGGCAGCTGACGTAACATTTCTACAAACTATAAAATTACACAGCGTCATTTTTTTCTGTGTCCTGTTTGCTACACGTTTTAATGTAGACGTTATTTTGCTTTCAGAGGATGGTTTGCTAGTACAGACATCCATAAATAAAATATAACACAGACTTAATATAATAGACTATTATAGAAGTATATTAAATATATTTCAGTTTACTATATTTAGATTGCAGATTAGTTTTTATACCTTATTGAGATATTTGTTGTGTCTTATCGTATTTGATTTATTGAGCTTAAAACAAACACATTTCAAAGACTTTGGGATTTCCGAACATCTTGAGGATCCACAAAAGTTGTGGGAAAATATTCTATGGACGGAGAAAACTGAAGACGCACAAACAGATTCATAAAAGAATATTAATGACACATCGGCGAGTCTGATGATGTCATTTATTATCAGCTTGAGCTGAAGAAGACTTTGACAGTGTTGTTGTAGATTGTGTTGCCCAGCTCCAGTGGATCCTCCTCCCTCGCTGCTGCCATCACCTCCAGGACTTGTCTGCAAGAGACAAATAGTGAAATCTTAAAATTAAAGGTCTATTGTGTTTAACAATATTCATGCTTCAGTGCGACATCTGATTGTATCCATTGGATTTATAAAGCGTTTCCCTTTAGTGACTCACATGATATGACAGGGCTCATTCCGGTCCTTCAGGCAGTGTCCTGCCTCCCACTTCTTCTTTGTGGGAAATGTAGTTTTAACACATTTGGACCCGGCATGAGTGTTCTTCACACCACACCACGGGGCGTCTGGAAATGAGCAGGAAGGTGGAAATCCATAAATAACATGAATGTAGCATTTAAAGAACTGTAACATCAGCAAAACATTTCTATAAAGTGAGCACAAACCTGTTTAATCTAATATATTCCCTCTTATTGGTGATACAGCTTCAACAAGAATATAAAACCAATGACTCCAGAGCTTTAAGAAAACTTTATATTAAAGGTTCACTGTGTGATCAAACTCAGGCCACATTCTGCCAAAAGCTTTAAAATAAACAGACGGTGTGACTCACCTGTTTCTATCATGAGCCTCTCTGTGGGGATCGATTACAATACTCCATTGGTACCAACTGAACAGATTTTTAGCAGTACCTAAAATGTAAAAAATTCTGCTGAAGTTAACTTACTTTTTTGTTGGACTTGTATAAAATTCACAAACAAACCTCACGTACTACTTGATTTCATTTTACAATAAACTAGTTTGCCAATTTGAAAAAAGCCACTGAGTTACCCACATTTATGAATGAATCTGATCAAAATTCTTCTGCGTCATTGCTCATTTGAATTTCAGGTCCACTCGTTTGATGGAACTGCAGAAGACGCTGCTGCTCTCATTGACCTGGACCTCTATATTGGAATAAATGGATGGTGGGATAATCTGAGAAATGTTGTTCGGTTTCCTTGAATGTGACCTGAATCACACTGAGTCTCACTTCCATATCTTTCAGTTCCTTGAAAACAGAGGCCAATATTGAAGCTATGAAG